CATCTACTGAGTGGCCCAGGATCTCTATGTTGCTATGTTTACATCTTCTGTTCAGATCAGCTGCATGGCCCAAGAGTGCAGAGAACTGCACTCTGCATAGGTGGCAGTCAGAAGAGGTACTTTTACAAGGTAGAAACTAAATGGCCTCTATTGTACAACTGAACAGTGAGGAAAATATTTCTATGCCACTCCTAGCTTATAAAATTTATCAAAAAGTACACTTTAATCTTAGGTCTTTAAGGACCTTCATGTGCCATTCTGATTTTAAAAGATATTCTGTAAACTAAATATTAATCCAGGAGGAACCACTATCTTTATTGTATATGCTACTACTCATTATATCCACTCACACAGTGCAAACTGGAGGTAATTTTAACTCTTGCTTTATTTTGATTTTTGTTCTTCCAAATAAGGAACAGTGCTCAGTAAATGTCTTCAGAACGAAGGACAGAATACATTTGGTTTTCAGACTCATCAAGAAAAAAAAAAGTGGTCTCAAATAAATAAATCAGAAATTAAAGGGGATAAATAATTGACATCACAGAAATAAAAAGGATTATAAGAAAAAATACAAATAAGTATATATCAGTAAATAGGACAATCTGGAAGAAATGGGTAAATTCCTAGAAACATACAATCTTCCAAGACTGAATCAAGAAGAAACAGAAAATCTGAATAGACTGATGACTACCAAGGAAATCAAATCAGTAATCAAAAAACTCCAACAAACAAAAGCCCTTGACCAGATAGATGCCTTTACAGGTGAAATTTACCAAACACTCAAAGATGAGTTAACATCTATTCTTCTCACACTACTGAAAAACAATTCAAGTGAAGGGAAAACTCCCAAGATCATTTTATGAGGTCACCATTACCCTGATTGCAAAATCAAAGATCCTATATAATAAAAGCCTAATATGCTAAGTGTCCAGTCATCTGGTTGGCCATTCAACCAATCAAAGCGTACATGCTAATGATATGCTAAGGAGGCTCAACCGCTCGCTATGATGTGCACTGACCACCAGGGGGCAGATGCTCCGACCGGTAGGTTAGCTTGCTGCTGGGGTCCGGCCAATCAGGACTGAGTGAGACAGGCCAGACTCGCCCTGGAGCCCTCCTGTGGTCCCTCCCTGGCCCCAATTGTGCACCGGTGGGGTCCCTTGGCCTGGCCTGCACGCTCTCGAAATTCGGGACCCCCTCAGGGGATGTCAGAGAGCTGGTTTCAGCCCAATCCTGCAGGCCAGGCCAAGGGACCCCATTGGTGCATGAGTTCATGCACCAGGCCTTTAGAATTACAAAAAAAGAAAATTATAGGCCAATATCCCTGGTGAACATAGATGTAAAAATCCTCAACAAAATATTAGCAAACCAAATTCAGCAATATATTTAAAAGATCATACATCATGATCATGTGAGATTTATTCATGGGATGCAAGTTTGATTCAATATCTACAAATCAATTAACATGATACTCCCCATAAACAAAATGAAAAATAAAAAGCACATGATTATATCAATAGAAGCAGAAAAAGCATTTGACAAAATCCAGTATTCATTTATGATAAAAACTCTCAGCCAAGAAGGAACAGAGGAAATCTACCTCAACATAAAAAAGTCATATATGACAAACCTACAGCTAACATCATATTCGACGAGAAAAGCTAAAAGCTTTTACCTTAAGATCAGAAACAAGAAAAAGATGTCCACTTTCACCATTTTTATTCAAAATAGTATTAGAAGTCCTAGTCACAGCAATCAGACAAGAAAAAGAGATAAAAGGCATCCCCAAAACCCCAAAACGCTAATTTTAAAAGAAATATGTACCCTATGCTCATTGCAGCATTATTTACATTAGCAAACCAAAGTGCTCATAGGGTGCAACAGATAATTGGATAAAGATATGGTACACATATACAAATGAATATTACTCAGCCATAAAAAAGAATAAAATCTTGCCAGAACCGGTTTGGCTCAGTGGATAGAGCGTCGGCCTGCGGAGTCAAGGGTCCCAGGTTCGATTCCGGTCAAGGGCATGTACCTTGGTTGCGGGCACATCCCCAGTGGGGGGCGTGCAGGAGGCGGCTGACCGATGTTTCTCTCTCATCGATGTTTCTGGCTCTTTATCCCTCTCCCTTCCTCTCTGTAAAAAATCAATAAAATATATTTAAAAAAAAAAAAAAGAATAAAATCTGACCATTTGTGAGATTGACCCAGAGGATATAATGCTAAGTGAAATAAGTCAGACAAACACATGTGATTTCATTTATATATGGAATCTAAAGAATATAATACACAAAACAAAAACAGACTCATAGATACAGAGAACAAATTGATGGTTGCCAGATGGGAGGGGGGTTGGGGTTTAGGTGAAAAGGGTGAAGGGATTAAGAAGTACAAATTGGTAATTGCAGAATAGTTGTAAAGAACTACATAGGAAATACAGCCAACATTGTAATAACTGTGTATGGTGCCACCTGGGTACTGGCCTTACCAGGGAGATCACTTGGTAAATTATTTAAGTGTCCAACCACTATGCTGTACACATGAAACTAATACAAAATAATACCAAGTGTTGCCCTAGCTGGTTTGGCTCAGTGGATAGAGCATGGGCCTGCAGACTGAAGGGTCCCAGGTTTGATTCCAGTCAAGGGCACATGCCTGGGTTGCAGGCTCAATCCCCAGTAGGGGGTGTGCAGGAGGCAGCCAATCAATGATTCTCTCTCATCATTGATGTTTCTTTCTCTCCCTCTCCCTTCCTCTCTGAAATCAATAAAAATATATTTTAAAATAATAATAATAATAATACTGAGTGCCAACTATAATTGAGAAATAAAAAGTAATATATATGTATGTATATATATGGCATATACATATACATATACACACACAAATATATATACACATTTGGTTTACACTCAGCTTTACACCTGAGGCAAAGATATTTTGCAGAAGCAAATCTTTAACATGTTCAGATATTAACATATAAAATAGCTCACTACCCTGAATATTCTTAATCTTTATTGGGTTGTGGTAAGTTTCTACAAACTAAGGTGACAGTCACCTACCGTTAATAATATTGCATTTTTTATGGGAGTTACCATTAAGCCTCTTAGTTTAACTCAATAGAATTTCCTGAGCATTGAAACACGTGCAAATGAGGTTCACAATTAAAAACTTGTAAAACTCACAACCTAAGCTCATCACACGCAAGCAAAAAAGGAATATGGGAATATTTGTAAGCATTTACCACATATGGCAAGTTCTTAATGTAAAGAAGTTGTCCCTGCTTTTAAAAGCACAGGTTTTCTCAAAGAAATGTCAACACAGCAGTTCACCCAACTTTGGAAATAAAGGGCAGCATAACTGAAGTAGAGGTACAAGCATGTTATTATTATTGGTCATGCCAGCTCCATTTTCTGCAGTCATATCTAACCCTTCCATAGTTCATGTATACTCTATGGCAAAAGGGAAGTAGAACTTAACAGATTTTTTTTAAGTTAATGATTCAGGCAATTTTTGGAGTAACTTCCACTTGAGAAAATGTAACTAAGAGATCCTATCAAGAGACTCCCCAGCTGTTGACAGCTCAACTCTGGAAATTCCCTCCTTTTTTGCCTATTCCTGACTATCCCTAAATCCAAATTACAAAGTTTAATGACCTTGAAGGGCCCTGTGTGCCTCCACTGAACTCAGAACTCTGTCTAAATACTCACTGGGACTCTCCATAGATGTTTATTGAATTGAAGGAAGAAAAAAAGGCACTGGAAACCTAGCTCCAAAGGCCAAGTGCTTGTTCGCCTGAACGAACCCCTGCTTTCCCCACAAGAGGAAACTGGGAGATCTGGAGCTGAGTCCATCCAGAATCCAGGGGGTCTGACACTGGGCTCAAGAGGTGATGACAGCCAGGAGGTCTGGGCAGCGGTTCCAAAATGGGGCACTGGGAAATGGTGGGCGCTTGCCAACATGGAAACACTCCCTCAGGGAGCTGGACCGGATGGTAGGAAACCAAGTCAGTTCTGTAGGGATCCCAAGGCCCCAATCGCGTTCCACCGCCCCATTCCTGTTTATAGATCCCACTCCAGGAACTCCGGCTACCAAAGAGAAAGCAGAGGTCTCAGAAATATGTCAACACATGACATAACTTGAAAAAGCTGGCTGCTCATTGGCGCGAGTTATAACTTGTCCGGCTCACACAGGAAAACCGGCTCACTTTAATTACTTTTCTTTTATTAGGCTATGCCGTCCCTTCCAGGCCCCAGCCTGGATCGGGTTACAGAGAACTAGGTAGCTTCGGTGGTAGGAACCAAACCGTGTGGGCGGTTAGCTGAAAGCAAGGAATCAGAGCCGACCGCCTGCGCAGTGACTGCGGATTTGGATTCACGACAATCGCAGCGGCTCTTTCCGCGCGGACGCAGGAAGAGGAAGCCTCGGCACCTCCACCCTGTAGACACCGAGCTGCCCTATCGCTTGTGTCGCCGAGAGGGCCTCGCGGCACCACGCCGGTGCTCCTGGGTCGGCCAAGGGCGCGCCACCTTTGTCTGGGTTTCCCCTCCAGGATGGGCGCCGCCTCCACGCTAGGAGGGCTTGCCTGGCTCAGAGGCACAGACGCGGCGCTCGGGTTCCCAGTCCCAGCGCCGAGCCCAGGAAGCCTGCGCGGCCGCCTGAACCCCCCACCCCCACCCCCACTTCCACTGCGCGCCCGCAGCGCACCCGCCAAGTCCCAGCCTGGCGACCACTGCCCCGGCGCGGCGGCCACTGGTGGGGAAGCCGGAGACCAAAACGCAAGCCAGCTCTCCCCGGGCTGCACTGCCCGCCGCCGAGCGAGGCGGGGGTCACCGTGCCCTCTGCCGGGCCCGCCTCGACCGCGCCCACGCGGTCCCTTACTCGGTAGAGCACCGGCCGATGGACCCCCAGCGAGGCGACATCTCACACTGGCCGCTGTGTCGGGGAAGGCATGACAGCTAGGCAGCACTTACACCCACTGACTGCCCCTCTCTCACCTGCCTGCACCGTGTCCGAGAGGTCGTGCCCGGGGGTCGCGGTCCTGGGAAATTCCTTCAGTTTCCTAGCGCTGAGGTTCAACCCCCCAGAGTTGGCGGCTTCCTCCAGTGCGCGTTCCAGCCCCCGGTTCAAGGGTAGGTTGAAGCCCCCGCTGCTGCCGCCGCTGCCTCCCGCAACCCCGCCGTTGGCTCCGGTTCCTCCGTGGTGCTGATGGTGGTGGTGGTGATGATGATGTGGGTGCAGAGTAGACACGGAGAGGGCAGGGACGAAAGATTGGGGTTCGCTTCCCGGCGTCGCCATCTTCTCCCGGGCCCCCACCCCCACCCCGCTCCGCCGCTGCAGCGGGGGGCGTCACAGCTTTACCCCGGGAAGGGGAGCCGGCACCAAGTGCCGAGTTCCTGCAGCGCTCCACCGAGAGATGCTGGGAGAAGGGGAGGACGGAGTGGCAGGCGCAGAAGAGGGGCTGACGAAGAGGCGGCAGTGGCAGCTCGGTCTCGAAGGTTTCCTGTCCTGGGGAAGCTAAGGACTGCAGCGGCGGCGGTGGCAGGCAGCGCGCATGTGTCTCCACCCTCCCCAGCGCCCTCCTCTCGGCCGCTCTCTCCCCTCCTCCCCCGGCTGCTCTCTCCTCCTCTTTCGGGTGTCAGTTCAGCTCTGAGACTTCCTACGCGGCTATCCTGGCTGGCCCTGTCTGCTTGGCTGCTCTCTGCCCGCAATCCCGGTACTGGGAGGGGTGTGAGCGCCTGTGCAGGGGGTCATTTTCATTTGGACTCCGAACTCCTCTTTCTTTTTGCTGCCCAGATTGGGGGTCGGCGGTAGGGGGCAAGAGATTTTAGAGGTCTAAGAAGACGGGGACCTGGCAATGAATGCGAATTGAAATACAGTGAGGTCACGGGGAGGTGGGAGGTTATCTCAATTCTGCGAATTATTCTGGCTTTTTGACCCAGAGTTCCTCCGGAGACCGTTTTCCACTGCGCTGTTAAGCCAACAGGCAACCCCTGGCATTTGAGTTCATACAGTGAGCCAGGCTCTGGTCTAGGTAGTCTATTTATGTCATTAATCCAGGAGCCCCAAGAGCAGAAAAAAAAAAAAAAAGTTTTTTCCAATCTACAGAGGAAATTAAGAAACTTGTGTAAAGTAACCCAGACACTCAGTGGTGGACCTGAATTCCAGCTTGCAACCCTGAGTGTGTGATTGCCCTCCTGCCTGCATACTCCCAGGCGCTACCAGGGGTAGGGAACCTTTTTTGTGCCAAGGGCCATTGGATATTTATAACATGACTCGGGGGCATACAAAATTATCAACTTAAAATTAGCCTGCTATATTTGGTCAAACATTTAATGAACTTATCCCTAATGCCTTGGCAAGGCCAGACCAAATGATTTCACCAGCCTCTGCCCCTGCCCCCCCCCACCACCACCACCAGACATTCCCCACCCCTGTAGGAAAAACAGATTTCCTGAGTGATGATAGAAAACTGCAGACCCAGAAAGGAAGGACTTTCAAAATGAGTGTAGTTTTTATGGTGGACAGAATACATTGTCACATGAGGGAGAAGAGCTGCCTATGGCTGACTAAGCCCCAGAATTGGATGGTGCAAGGAGAGGTTAGAAAGCCAGTGATCCCAGCAAGCCAATAACTCAGTTACAGGTTGAGTCTGTGCACAGATACATTAGTATTCTCCTGCATCTCCTTTTCCTCAACCCGTGGGGCACAGAAACTGACATGTCTGCTTGCAAACAAATTCACGTTTGCTCAGATCAAGGCTGGCACACACAGACCAGCTAGAAGATTGATCAAGTCCCACTCCTTTCTGAAGTTTCAGCTCCAACTTACTAGGACAGTGATTTTTATTTTTATTTATTTATTTTTGCCTTGTAATCATTTATTATTAACTAGGGGCCCGGTGCACGAAATTCATGCACTGAGGGGGTGGTCCCTCAGCCCAGCCTGCCCCATCTCACATACTGGGATCCCTCAGGGGATGTCTTAGTGACGGCTTAGGCCTGTTCCCTGCTCCCCTTGGGGAAAGGGCCTAAGCCGAAGTCTGGCCTCCCTTTGTGAGAAGTGACTGGGCTGATCAGGGGAAGGCATCAGCCCCATCACCCCGCTGCTGCAGCCACTGCCAGTCACCGCAGCCACCAAGGTTTTTTCATCAACACAGACTCCAATCCCTTCACCATGAAAGAATGACAACTTTCTTTAGACATTTTCAAGATGTGTCTTTCATATAATAATAATTACTTTATTATTTTTTTTTATCCTCACCTGAGGATATGTGTCCATTGATTTTTAGAGAATGTGGAAGAGAAAGGGAAAGACAGAGAGAAACATCAAAGTGAGAGGAACACTTTGAATGGTTGCCTCCTGCATGAGCCCTGACCTGGGCCCTGGCCAGGGAGGAGCCTGCAATCTAGGTACATGACCTTGGTCAGACTTGAACTCAGACCCTGCCATCAGCAGGCCAAGGCATTATCCACTGAGCCAAACTGGCTAGGGCAGGATATGACATTTCTTAGCCCTCCAGCAGCAGACCTTCGTTTTTTTCGCCAGGAGTGTGGTGAAAAACCCTAGATCACCTTTTTGGATTCTTATTACCCAAGTTACTAAGAATATTACCAGTGGCATACAGGGAGCTTAACCAATGAGCAGTCAGAAAGGTGTTTCCTCTGTAGTTCACACCAATTAGCCCCCCCACCAGGCCTGAAGCCTCTGGCCCAGGCATCAGGCCTGGGCAGGGGACCCCAGACCCCTCCGATTGCCGGCTCTGTCCCCCACCCAGGCCTGACGCCTCGGCCAGAGGCATCAACCCCCATCTCCCCCCGATCACCGGCTCTGGGGCTTCTGGGGCCGGCCTGTGGCCCGGGATGGCAGCTCGTGCTGGCGGCTGAGCTGTCCTGCCCTGCCTGCAGTATGCAAATTAGCTGCCATCTTCATTGGCGGTTAATTTGCATATCACACTGATTAGTTGATGGGAGGCGTAGCAAAGGTACGGTCAATTCCCATGTTTGTCTATTATTAGCTAGGATATCACTTTAATTCTTTATTGTTTAAAGTATTACGTATAGTATTACATATGTCTCCTTTTTCCCCCATTGACCTCTCCCCAGCCACCCCCAACCCCCCTAGTGTCTGTATCCATTGGTTATGCTTATATGCATGCATACAAATCCTTTGGTTAATCCTTTACCACCACCACCACCACCCCACCCCACCCTGCCTTCCCTCTGAAGTTTGACAGCCTGTTGGATGCTTCTCTGTCTTTGGACCTATTTTTGTTCACCAGTTTATGTAATTCATTATATTCAACAAATGAGTGAGATCATGTGATATTTATCTTCCTCTGACTGGCTTATTTCACTTCGCATAATGCTCTCTAGGTCCATCTATACTGTTGCAAGGGGTAAGAGTTCTTTCTTTTTTACCGTAGCATAGTATTCCATTGTGTAGATGTATCACAGGTTTTGAATCCACTCATCTGCTGATGGGCACTTAGGCTGTTTCCAAATCTTGGCTGTTGTAAATTGTGCTGCTATGAACATAGGGGTGCATATGTCCTTTCTGATTGGTGTTTCTGATTTCTTGGGATATATTCCTAGAAGTGGGATTACTGGGTCGAATGGGAGTTCCATTTTTAACTGTTTAAGGAAACTCCATGCTGTCTTCCACAGTGGCTGCACCAGTTTGCATTCCCACCAGCAGTGCACGAGGGTTCCTTTTTCTCCACATCCACGCCAGTGCTTATCGTTTGTTGATTTGTTGATGATAGCCATTCTGATGGGTGTGAGATGACATCTCATTGTCATTTTGATTTGCATCTCTTGGATGATTAGTGACTTTGAACATGTTTTCATATGTCTCTCGGCCTTCTGTATGTCCACTTTCAAAAAGTGTCTATTTAAGTTCTTTGCCCATTTTTGATTGAATTATTTATCGTCCTTTTTTTTAAGATGTATGAGTTTCCTACCATACAGGCCTCTAGGGCAGTGATTTTTAACTGGTGCGCCTAAGAAGTTTTAAAACATGCAATACCTGACTATTTAGTCAGAGGCACTGACCTCTTTTCCCTTAGATTATCAATAATAATAAAAAAAAGACAACAGCCAGCATAACAATAGCTGTCCGTTATGAATGAATCAAAATTACACCTATTTTTTTTGTCAGTTTGGCAAAAAATATATTTTTTGGTGTGCCGCTGTGTTTTAGTAATTAGTTTGTGTGCCATGAAATGAAAACGGTTGAAAAATCACTGCTCTGGGGCCTTTATTTTTGCTCTACACCGAAGGCTTGACTGTCACTGTAAGTTACTTGGCTAGTGGAAATGAAGATGTGGGTAAAGTAGAAAATGATACAACCCAGGGATTAGGGGAGCCTGTCTTTTAAGTGGTAATGCAGAAAGGTGATGGTCCAAGCAAAAGTCTGGAACTTGTGACTTCATGGACTTCGCGCTAAGGTATGGCATCATGTTTGTCACTTGCATTACTGTGTGCATAGTTGCACTTGTTCCTGCAGGATTCTAGGCTGAGTGAAACAGTCTAAACTCAGAGGAGACAAGCGCCACCTGCTGGTATCCTCTTCCCAAACCTCCTCTCTCACCAACCCCTTTTTTTCACTCAGACTCCCAGTCTTTTAAAAACCAGGCTTGATGGTAATGATAATAATAACAAATGAAAGTTTACTTACATAACTTATAAGAACTAACCTACCTTCCCCTTTCTTTGCTGGTTTTTCCCCAAAAGGGAAGTGAGGAACAAAGAGAGAGACGGAAAAATTTTTCAAATGAAAACCTTCAGCTAAAGCCAGGTGGTAGTTTCGTGAGCTGTTTGTAGGGTGTAGCTGAATATGTTTGTCAGACTGCAATTGTAGTTCAGACTACTAATTGTGGTGATGCATTATATAGGACATAATCTTTTTTAAAAAAAAGACCACCAATTCTTTTTCAGAGGAAATGATGGAAGGTGAGTACAGGACTTGCATTTTAACAAATGTTCAGTTAAATATATTAGGTTGACCTAATCAATATAGCTTGCTTTACATTCTACAGATTACTAAAGAGTAAACTCCTTGAGGGAGGGAACTGTTCATCTTTGCAACTGCCTCCCCACGTTCCAAAATCTAGAGAAGTACTTTGTACACAATGAATATTAGTAATTGAACATTGTACAATAGACCAAGTATTCTACAGGTTGTCATTTGTTGCTATAACTTTCAAATGAGGTCCCTGAATAAAGGAGTTTTTTCCTGAAACTGATCTTAGTTATTTCTAAATATTCAAGCAATTCAACAAGCCATTTTTGTTGTTGTCTTGCTTCTTCACTTTTTTTTTTCAATTAGGTGGACATCTCCGTTTTGTTCGATACCCTTTTTACTTCTTCTAAAAACAGTTCCCTCTTCTTGTTCCACCCTCTCTACTCTATACATATAGTCATCTGGGAGCAGTTGTGTTACATTGACCATACTGGCTGTCTTGGTTGGTCCAGAAGTGGACTTCTAACAGATCACCCAGAGGATCCTGATGACGTTCAGACCCTAGATTCTGACGGTTCCTGACTCATATCTTTGCTTGCTATGAGATATCCAGTATATTTATAATGCACTAGGGGCCCGGTGCATGAAATTCGT